AGTTGTGTGTGTGTGTGTGTGTGTGTGTGTGTGTGTGTGTGTGTGTGTGTGTGTGTGTGTGTGTGTGTGTGTGTGTGTGTGTGTGTGTGTGTGTGTGTGTGTGACGATAGGGAAGAGAATACAGCAGAGGGGGAGCAGCAGTGTGCCTCCTGTCTTCTTTTAAAGCTGCACACGTCTAAAGAAGATTTTACACTAGTAGTTTGTCCTAAATTAAAGAGAGGTTTCTCATTCATTCAATCATTCAGATTGGGTTAATCCAGTTTGAATGCATATCGCATTCCACAACAAAAATCTGGTTCCTCTGTAAGAAGACATGAACATAATAAGCTATTCTTTTCATTTTTGGGAATTAGATGAAAAGCGTAGATATAGCAACATAATATTTGACTAGTTGTTTGAGCGCCTTTGCACAACAATTGAACAATTAGTTAATTAATTTAGTTATAGAACATTGTTCATCAAGCCTAGTCTTGACATTGCACCAGATAGATTCATCTTAATTTAGAAATTTAGCCCACAACATTTAGGGGGAACTCTCCTGTATTTCCCTAACATTACAATATACATCACAGAATGATAAATAAATAATAAATGTTACAATAAAATAGGGATGCTCCAATCGATATCGGCCGCCGATCGATATCGGCCGATACTCACTCTCTGCCGATCGATCGGTGCTCTCTAAAATGCCGATCGCGAGAGCCGATCGCATGACGTAAAATACATGAAACTTTTCTCTATGCGCGGCAAAACAAGCTCGCCAAAATGGTTTCACCGGTCTGGCAGTATTTTAAGGTGAATCCGAAAATGACAATAAAATAGCGGTATGCAACGTGTGTGAAGCAGAGATCCTGCAGCTCCGCCCGCTGTGACGGACCGGTGAGTTGAGCAACACACACACTAAGAGTTAGACCTAACACACCTAGCTATTTTATCTACCTCTGGAACAAGCTAAACTAGTTATACATATATTTATTCTTCTTCTTCTTCTGTCGGGTCACTCCTTACTGGATCAGTGAGCTGCATGAGACGATACTGACGGGCTGTCAGAAGAGAGAGAGAGGGGAGAGAGGAAAAGAGAGGCTCCCGTTCTCCCGTGTTATTATCCAAAGTTAATGTAAACTTGAATAATGTACTTCATTTAAATCTAATAATTATGTTGGTTGTCATTGTTTGTGGAAGCGCTCACTTTAAAGAGAAGATCCCCATAGCCCGTACCCACCCGATCGGATCGGCGATTGGTATCGGCCGATACTGATTCCGGCGATCGGCCACACAAATTCCCGATCGGAGTATCCCTACTGAATAGCACTTTGATGTTTCCTCTCCTTGTGTTTCAGGTTAGAGGGTATTCAGTATCCGTACCACCTTTACATCAGCCCCTCTGCCAGGTCAGGCACCAACGGCCCCGACAGGCCCTTCCAATGTCCCACCTGCGGCGTCAGATTCACACGCATCCAAAACCTGAAGCAGCATATGCTCATACACTCAGGTATGTGAGATGGGGTAAAAGAAAACTTAAAGAGTATTGATCTTGGGCAACTTAGTATTCATCCTCCGATTTCACATGTAATTGTGTGTAACACTGTTTGACATGTAATCTCTAAGGAAAATACACATGTTATTTCGATAAATTGATTATAAAAACAGCAACCCCAACAATCATTTATGTTTTGGTAATTATTTGATGTACCAATGACAAATTAATGTTTGTCGAAAAAAAACAACTTAATGGCTAAATAACCCTTTGTCAGCTTTCAACAGATCCTAAAATCGCTAGATGAAGTTGAATAGAAAATAAACGATTGGTTTATTTTCAAATACATTTATTTAAAATAATGTAATGCTTTCTGTTGATATTTGTATGTGATGATTGTGCCATGTGCTTGATAATGTACTGATTTTGAGTTTAAACGTCTTCATATGAGGGTTTTTTAGGGAAAATAATAATTCAATAATGAATCACAAAGCATTTAAATAAAAACATGTTGTGAATAACACATGGTATAAAGAAGACGCAGACCTGAATCTGAAATCAGTTGGAATCCATCCCTTCAAATTAACAGCACTTAAACATTTGTTAACTATATTAAAGTAAAATACATTGATTTGTGGACTATTGATTTGAAATGATTGTGTGAAAGGGAAACCTCCCAAGCCCACATCACAAGCATAGCAAAAAAAGAAAAAAAGGATCTATGTATCTGCAAACTTTTCAAGATGTAGTGTAAGAGCTCTACGGTGGAGGGATCAAATACCACTGAAGTACTCATTCTTCCCAGTTACTCTGGGGGTGATTTTTATTCGGAAAACAGTTAAGGCGGACTTTGTGGTACCATGTCATTCACCCTCGTCTTACCTTCACCCACACACAGATACCAAGACATGTGACGCTTATGCACAGAACAGCTGAACTCTGTTGTTTTCTTCTCCCCTCAGGCATTAAGCCTTTCCAGTGTGACCGCTGTGGGAAAAAGTTCACACGGGCCTACTCCCTAAAGATGCATCGGCTGAAGCACGAAGGTAAACGCTGTTTCCGGTGCCAGATATGTAGCGCCACATTCACGTCCTTCGGTGAATATAAGCACCACATGAGGGTCTCCCGACACATAATCCGCAAGCCGCGGATTTACGAGTGCAAAACGTGTGGGGCCATGTTCACCAACTCTGGCAATTTAATTGTACACCTGAGGAGTCTGAACCATGAGGCATCTGAACTAGCAAACTACTTCCAGAGCAGGTGAGGAGTCCGGGGGCGCTGACCCTCATCATTTACTCAGATCTCACCTGGATCAAAAAGTTACTCAAGTTTAGACTCTCATACCTTAGGTCCATTTAATCGTTTTCCCTCTATGACTTTTGTTGTGTAGAATTGTTTCCGACATGATTGCACTTGATTTGGATGCTCAGATCAAGAGTACCTGAAGTACTTGATGGTATTCATTGAAAATGTAACTTATTTTGAGAAATAGATTTACATTTCGGGAAGATTATACATTTTTATCCCAAAAATTGGATTTTGGAGACAAACTGCATTTCAATGAGCTGTTAGAGCATTTCCCGTTTGGGAATAAATGTCAGGTGACCTTTGGAGACTACAAAAAGTTATTGAACCTGGCCAGGAAGCTGTTATAAACCCAGAAAACGTCTTTGCAGATTAAACAAACGAGGTCAACAATGTTAAGAAGTGAGCTTTAAAGGTAAAAAAATATGGACTTTGTAACATCTGCCAAGAAAGCCTTTTTCCCATTTCCAGTCTGTACGCTTTAAGCTAAGCTACATACATGAGAGTGCTATCAGTCTCCTTTTTTAACTCTCAAATAGAAAGTGAATAAGGCCATTTCCCAAAATATTGAACTATTCCTTTGATTTTATACAGAGATGGCAAACACCTGAAGTTACACTTGGCTCTGTTTACTGACAAATGCGATGTAAAGGAGTAATTATCAAGTAGACAATAATAAGAAAATAACATTTAGTAATACATTGATCAACGGCCAATATAAGAACCCAACTCTGCAGTGATCTTAAAAACCTCACATAACTTCAGTTTATTTTGAATCCCTAATTTTAAAGTCATACTCTTCAGTCATAAATTAAAGTCAAATCTAAGATTTGTTTCTTAATACGGATCAGGTGAGAACACTTTTGTACTGAATTGTAGAGTCGGACTGTTTTGTTTTAGGAATCTCTGGGCGGCCCAGAAATCCTGGGGTCATCACTTATAACATAGCCCTCCCCTAGGACTATATAAAGAGCAGTATTTATAGGATCAGTGGTTCCACCGCTCAATCATGAGCTTAAAGCAGTCTAACGTTTGCTAGCTAGCAGTGAGGTACGGGCCATCTGTGAGAAATCGCCATGGGCCACCGTATTAGTCGGCCAATGGACCATCTAAAAAAGTGGTTATAAGGAAATGTCGTTAATATTGTGTTAATTTGTAATCAACCCTGACCGGCGATTGTGCATTTATTTTAGGGCTGTCAGTATAAAATACTGCTTATTTTTTCACAGTTTTGCAACCTAATTTTACACTTGGTAATATCTGTATCATTATAATGTGCCTGGGTGGTTTAATAACATTATTTTCAGCAGTGTGACAAACCTAAAACACATGTTTATTTTTTTACCAGGGCTTTAATGAAATAGAGTGGGTTGTTTGTTTTTTATCAGCAGCTCAGCCTGCCTCCAGAAAGTCAGAACACAGTGTCTTTATAAAGTGGAAGAGTGTTTTTATTTCCCAGACTTTTCCACTTCTTAATCAACTCAAGCCCTCACAGGTCGGCAGGACTCAAACGGGCCATTGACTGCTCAAGAGTTTTATTGTAGAAGGTCCTCGCTGAGATCATAACAGTGTGGAAAATTATCTGGCATTACAGTCAGACTCCTAACTCCCATCCTCAGTCTGCACATAAAAAGATATGTTAACTACTCTGGTTTGAAGAGCAGTTTGTCAGATTCAGCTGTCGCTTTGTGAGGACAGTTCGACTCCACCTTAACTATTAATACTGGATACTGAGCTCTGATTCCTACTGTTCTTGATGGAAGCCGTATATGTTAGGAACTCCAATGGATGTGATGAAATCATTTTTTAAAAACCAGTTTCCTATCTGACTACAGGATTAGTTTCTTAGCCGCCATAAATCAGCTGTGTAAAATGACAGTAATTTAGTTTAAATGCTTGCCCTAAAATCGAGTTGTAAAGGGAAAAATCCAGCAGATACAATGTATGGGTATTGGTTACAGCAGTAGCCTCCACAGACCAGAATATATTGTTCTTCAGTTTGAATAATTGACTCTTGTCTTAAGCTAACTTTCTATATTTCCGTTCCTTCATGCATACATCCTTGAGTAAAGACAACTACTTTTTTGGATGGCTGGTGAAAGGCATTCTGGGAAATGTACTAAATCACTTACTGAGATAGGAGTAAATTAAACCGAATGAAACAAAAACAGTAGTACTTCACTAAACTGACACAAAAGCCGAAGTGCAACTTGTACATGAACACATGCCCATCACTTATTTATTCAAACCCACATTTCCTCCTTACATTTCTTGGTTTTTGTGACCAGAGGCCTGTACTACGAAGCCGATTCAACCTAACCTGGATATGTTTGAGTTAGCCGGTTGGCCTAATCCAAAACATACGCGCTCTCGCTAAGCGGTCCTACGACGCGGGTTATCAACTTGTTAACTTAAGCCAGCTTTGCCCTATCTAGTTAGGTGCGCGTTCACATAAAAGGGGTGGTATCTGGAGCATTCGACCAATCACAAACATGGAGAAGCGTACTGACAGCGCAGCGTCATACTTCCTGAATGAAAAGTCAACTATAATATTAGTCAAATATGAAGAAGTTAAACTTTAAACATCCATGACTTAAACACTTTATCCAGGATAAAAGCCACATAGCTGCACCTGCAAGGAGAATACAGCTGGTACAAGAAAAAGTGTTTGAATGCGTACATTAACAGGTTTATGATATCACTGCCCCGTCTAAGACACGATCTGACTTTAATTACATTTGACTCGAGTGTTTCGTCAACTTAATGTGTTGCTTAAAATAATACTTCTGCATACAGTATGTGACACTGTGAGTGTTGCACGGCCAGATACGGCTC